TCACAACAGATCTTAACTTCCGTCAGGAACTACTGTTTGTCAATAAGGTTTTTGATCTGCGTTTTCCCTGTAAGGATTGTTGTTATAAACTATTAAATAAATCCTATAGTTTATTTTTTTATATTTTCTATGTAATGACGCACTTTTATTGTGTAAGATAATATGTGCCTTTTTTCGGGTTAAGCGGCTTTAAATCTAGATCTTGAATATTGCTTGTCTTTATTCCAAAGATTGAGATTAATTAAGCCTTTAACTTTTTGATAATAATATTTGGATCTAGGAATGTTAATTTTATACTCAAAAGTAACCTTATTAATGCTCATAATCTCATATACAGTTTATACGGGGATTACATTTAAAACTTTCACAGGCCTATTGCTTTTTCAACACGTTCAAAAACTTATCAAAAGTTAAGAGTTAGCGTATATTTAAGTAAAGCTCAAGTGCATTTTTTTATTTCTTTGACATAGCACTTTTTTTGGGACTGAACCCTAGATATAGCACTATTGTACGTGTACATAACTTGGCGTATTTAAAATTTAGCGCAATCAATGGGTGTGGAGTTGTTGGCGTAATCATGAATTAGCACTACACATGTTGGTGCCATAGCTCAAGTTTTTTTTTGTCTTCTATAGTTCGAGATTGTAAACTGTTTCGGGGGCCTGCAAAGGATGCAACCCTTCGAAACAGAATGAGTTGAGACAAAGAAGTCTTTAACTTCGAACTAAAATTTAATTAAACTAATGCAACTATTTACAATAGATAGAAAAAAAATCTGAAAGTGTTGAAAAGTTTACATGAGGTATAAAAGCGCATTTTAAGTCATTCGACTGACCTAGAAGGACTTAATAGAAGTAGCTCAAGACGTAAATATAATATCAACTCAAAAACGAGGATAATGAGTTTTATAGACAAACTAATGCTATTCATTAACCAAAACAACATATATAAAGTATTTTATGCCAATATATTAATGTCATTGGAAATATGGGAACATATAGTTTTGGGAATGTCTGTTTGCATGTTTGTCTGTTGCTTGTCTGTTTTTTAGAGTTCAAACATGATTTCCCATATACAAAATTAATATGTAACAGACAATAGAGTATTTAAAAAACAATTGCAAGTACAAACAAAAGATGTTTGTAAAACACTTATGCCCCCTCCTCCAAATTGGAATTTTTCTAAGGGGCATACATCTGTTAAAAATGGCGCGATCGTACCACAAAACAGAACTTGACCTAGATATTCATCTGATAAATCTTTATACTAAATTTCATTTCAGTATGTGCAACTTCTGCGAAGAAAATGAACGGAAACTGCAAATAGTTGCAATTTTTCTAAGTCCAAGGAGCATAAATCAGTCTACCAAAAAACAAAACTTGACCTAGATATCCATCTGATAGGTCTGTATACCAAAATTTTATTTCAGTATGTGCAACGGTTGTCAAGAAAATGAACGGAAACTAAGTGGACCGACAGACAGACCGACAAACAGCAACAAAGCATTATGCCCTCCCATCTTCGAAGGACATAATAATATCTGATATGCATTACTGTGTTTTAAAAAACATCTTCTAACAATTGATTTGATCTCTTATTTCTTTTTCTCAGAACTTACCTTGATTCCGTGAATTTCAAACGCCCTCTCTGACATCTGTTTTATTGTCTCCTTTGTTGTGGTGGATATAAATTCGTAGTCCAAACTTTCACCAGGTGAGTGAGCCGTGAGTTCCTTTAGTTTAGGCAACGAGTTTAAGACAGCATGTTGAGCAATTAGGATGGTTTCTTCTTTTGACAAGGAATTGCGAAAGAAAAAACTCAGAAACCACCCTTTATCATTTGGCAATAAAAAAACGTCGTTGATCGTTTGAACAGAATTCCGGGGATCTAAAGATTTAAAAAAAAAAATGTTTAAAATGTTTGATTCTCGAGAGGTCAAAAATATACAGATTGATGGAAAGACGAAACATACTAAAGATATTTTGACCTGTTGAAAAAAATTATCACATAAATTTATCAATTTAAACATTCTGTTTCAATTTTTTGAGAGAAAATTATTGATGATAATATACTAAAATACACTTTTAGTAGATAATACAGAGATTTTTTTTTCGTTGTATCAAGGTGTTCTTACAAAAACATGTTGACCGGATATTTTGAATGACCTGATATTTCTAGTGAAGACCTGATATTTTTATAAATTACTTTCAATGGAAGGTTTTGAATATTTTTTTTTAAATTCTTTTAGAAAATTTAAACACTTTAAAAGATTCTGAGACAAAACTTTTTGCTAGAATTAAAGTGTATTGAAATGACCTGATGATTTTATACTAAAGACCTGATATTTTTTAATGCCCTGATATTTTTAAATGATGTGATGCGTTTCAATGACCTGATTTATTCTTATACTAGTAGTATATTTTTAAGAAAATAAAGGAGATTTCAATGTTTTACTTTATAAAATTTGAATATTTGCAATAATTCCATTTCATTTAAAAATATCAGGTCTGTAAAGTACGTAAAAATATCAGGTCATTCAAAATATCAGGGGAAAAATTATGGAAAAAATTATTTTTAAATATTTGTACAATTTTATATTAGAAAACAATATTTTAACAAAATACCAGTCAAGATTCCAACCAAATGACTCAACTGTCAACCAACTAGTAGAAATTTATAATACAATTATATCTAATTTAGACAAAGGCAAAGATGTTAGATTCATTTTCTGTGATATTTCAAAGGCTTTTGATAGAGTTTGGCATAAAGGTCTACTTTTCAAATTAGAATCGTATGGTATCCAAGGTACATTATTGAAATGGATTGAAAATTACTTAGATGACAGAGTTCAAAGAGTGGCTTTAAATGGGTTCTTTTCAAATTTTAAACCTATATCTGCGGGTGTTCCTCAAGGGTCTGTTCTAGGTCCTTTTCTTTTCCTCCTATATATTAATGATATAACTGATAATTTAGTTAATAAAACAAGGCTATTTGCAGATGATACATCACTATTTATAGTGGTAGATAATGATGTTAATGCAGCAGCAATATCACTTACATCTGACTTAAGCCCCATTCATACGACACGATTTGCATACCTAAGTATTTTTTACACGTGTGTAAATTTACTTACATGTGCAATTTTGGTCGTATGAACTGATTTGCTCATATGCAAATTCTGCACAGTTAAGTAAATTTACACCTAGTCAGGACTAGGTGTAAATTAACTTTTGCACATATGTTGTCGCAAATTATTTGCTCCCGTATGTAGATTTTGTCGTATGAACGCGCAGCAAATTAACTCACGTGAGTATTTCGTCTTGCGTATTGCATCACTCTTTATTTTTAGCGTTGTTACAGTTTGGCGGGAAAAATAACAGTTAGTAAACATGGCAGCTAGAAAGCAGAGGTGTAAAAAACGTGGATCTGCATGGACAGAAGAAGAGACAAGGGCTTTGTTATCTGTTTGGGAGGAACAAGCCATAGAGGAGCAAATGGAGAACCCGAAAGTCAAGAATGGGTGTATATACAAGTCCGTATCTGATGAGTTGATGAACAAAGGCTTTGAGAGAACGCCTGAACAATGCAAGGTGAGAATTCACACTTTAAAGAGAATGTGCAGAGAGACAAAAACCAAACTTAAACAAAGTGGAAAAGGAAGAAGAACATGTAATTATTTCAACGAGCTAGATTCAATTCTTGGAAATCGGCCGGCTTCCTCGCCGATAAAAGTGATTGAAACATTGAGTAAAAAGCGTTGTTATGAAAATGAAGATGAAAGCAATTCCAGTGAATCCGAGTCAATAGATGCAGGTGTCCGTCCTCTTGAAAAACTAGATGAGTCTGGAGATGATAATGATGATGAAAAAAGTTGCCTGGCCACAAACTCAAAGGATAACAAAGAAGTAAAAGATGCTACCGATACAGATAATAAAGAGGACAATCCGCAATCAAAAGAGAAGGAAAAAGGCTGTGGATCTGCAAAAGAGACCTCGGGTAAAACAAAGGAAAAAAAGGTAGCAACTGGCAAAAATGAAAAGAAAAAGGCGCGTAAAAGTAAACTTGAATTGGCCTTAACATCGGTAATGGATGGTTTTAGTAGCTCAAATGAAAAAGCCGAGGACAAATTTCTTGATCTAGAGCGCCGAAAATTAGATTTGGAGAAACAGAAAAAGGATATGGAAAAAGCAAGATTGGACTCAGAGGAAAAACAAAAGCGGGAGGAAAGACAGCATCAGTATAACATGATGCAAATGATCATGGGAGCGTTTAACCAGAGACAGTCCTATCCACCTAACCCTCCATCGTTTGCCACTGGAAGTCAAATATTAGGAGGTCAAGGAACATCGCAAATGTCCTCACCAAATATGCAAGGTCAACAGTTTTCCGGTGCAAACCTATATCCACAATATCAACGCCAATCTCCTGGGGCAGATAACTGTGATGATCCTACTTACTGTAACTTGTGACGTTCATTTGGTTTGATACCTGCTACAAAATTAAGGGGACACCACAATGAATGTGATCATAATCGTTACTTTCTAATTCTGTTTTTTTTTTGTTGTTGTTAAGGAACATGTACTCTTTTAAGTGTTTTAAAGTACCTTAAGAAAATGTCCTCTAATAGGAACTATTAATAATACTGAAACTTGTATGCATTTCCTAAAGTATAGGAATTGTGAATGCTTTGATTATTTTTTTTCTCCTTAAGAAAGAGTTTACCTTTACAAGAAATGATTCATTTGTTGTAGTTATTTTTTTTGCATTCATTCATGCTGTTTATTAATAATCATATGCATTTGTATTGTGTGTGTATTCATTCTAATTTCAATTTTCTGATTGAAGTTATCAAATCATTGCATATCAACGTTATTAAAACAGAACATTTTGTGTTTAAATATTAATTGTTATCAGAAGTAAAACACATTAATTGTCAACAGACGTGAAACAACATACAAGTGTCTAAAGTGTCACATGATTGTAAATCATCATTTCATCAGTCAAAGGTTATTATTGGCAAAAGCTGCAGCAATGTCATCTCGCAAGGCTTTGGCACAGCGAATGACCTCAACGTCACCATCCTGCGTATCGTCGTCTTCATCGTCAGTGTCGTCCGAATATGTATCCCAAATGTAATCTTCTTTCTCTAATTCGCAAAAGTTATGTAATACAACACAAGCTCCAATTACGGTGCAAGCGAATTCGACTTCAACGTCAAGTCTCTTCTGTAGACAACGCCATCTTCCTTTCAAATGGCCAAACGAATTTTCAATGGTCATTCTGGCTCTACTCAAACGATGGTTGAAATTGAATTGGGTGTTGGTGAGGGTAGATCTGTTGGTATATGGCTTTAAAAGCCAAGTCTTCAAAGGATATGCTGGGTCGCCCAGAAGAACTACAGGCATAGTATTTTCTCCAACTGGCTTTCTCCATTCCGGAAACAAGGAGTCGTTATCTCCTTTGAGATAAATCTCTGAATTTGCGAAAACACGGGCATCGTGAACCCTTCCTGGCCAACCTATATTTATATCTGTAAAGACATAGCTATGGTCGCAAACACCCTGGAGAATCAATGAGTAGAACCCTTTCCTGTTTAAATTATCTCCATGAGAATGTTTCGGAGCTATAATAGGAATGTGTGTGCCATCAATAGCCCCACCACAATTTGGGAATCCCCACTTTTCCTCATAGCCCTTGATTACTTTCTTCAACCTGTCTCCCTCTGGAAAACACACATATTCTTCAAGCAAATGTTCCATAATGGCTTCACAAACTTGATGAACGCACTCATACACGGTAGATTTTGCAACTCCAAAAAGATTGGCAATTGTCCGATATTCCGCGGATGAGGCTAACCAGTAGATGGCAATAGCTACCTTTTTTGTGACATCCAAAGGTTCCTCTACGGTCTTTGGGGCCGGGGCCAAAGCATTTTCCAACTTTGCACAAATTTTAAAGAAATTTTCCCTCTTCATTCGAAAATTCTCGTACCAATCTTCGTCCCTAAAGTCATTAAGTACGGTTCTGTCATACCACTCTGTAGATCGTACTTTCCTTCTACTTTCCTTTATTCGGGAACATCCAAGAGCTAGTCCTATGCCCAAATAGTAGGGAAATACTCTTTTCCTGTGAAAATTCACACGTCTGAAGCGGTCCATTTCTTTATTTTAAATGACAATTTGAGGATTTACTTAAGGTACTTAAATCTTGTCTGAACGCATAGCAAATTAACTTTTACTTATGTGTGTAAATTTACTCATGTGTTAATTTGCTCACATAAGCAAATTTTCGTCGTATAAATGGGGTATTAGATAAAATTAGTAAATGGGCTTCAACATGGGCTGTAGATTTTAATCCAAACAAAACCTGTAATGTTAATTTTACAAGAAGTTCAAATAACCATCCGCCAATCCATTTTGGCTGTAATGGTAGTATTATTAGTGAATCTAGAACACACTGTCATCTTGGACTTCTTTTCCAAAGTGATGCCAAATGGTCATCTCATCTAAATAATTTATATGAAAAAGCTTGTTCTCGGCTAAATCTTTTAAGAATGTTGAAACATCTACTAGATAGAAGTGCATTGGTAAAAGTCTATTTTGCTTTTATTCGACCCATTCTAGAATGTGGTGGCATTGTTTGGGATAACTGCTCACAAGAACTTTCAAATCTTTTAGAAAATATTCAAGTGGAAGCTGCCCGAATAATAACAGGACTTAGGAAAAACTCATCTAGAAAGGCTCTGTATTTAGAATTAGGTTGGGAACCATTAAATAAGAGAAGGGAAAGACAAAAACTCTTGTTATTCTATAAAACTGTTTATGGTATAGCCCCTCTCTATTTACAAGAAATGGTCCTTCCTTGTGTACCACCAAATCATGGTTACAATCTTAGAAGTAGTAATAATTTTAATTTTGTCATACCTCAAGCAAAGACAGTCTCATATTTCAACAGTTTTCTGCCTTCTACTATTCAATTATGGAACAATTTACCACTAGAAATAAAATGTATTGAATCTTATTCAAGTTTTAAGAATGTCCTCAAGAAACCTACTGTAGATAAAATAAAGGATGTCAAGATTTTTAATTATGGCAGTCGCAAGGAAAACATTCTACATTGTCAACTAAGAAATGAATCTAGTAATTTAAATGCTCATCTATATCATCAGTATCTAAGTAAAATAGCATCTTGTACAAAGTGCGGATATCCAAACGAGAATAACTTATCTTTTTTTCTTAGAATGCCCTTCATATAATAATCAGAGAAGGATACTTTTTTAAAGTCTTCAGAATGTAATAGAATTAGAAAGCATGCCTCCTGGTCAAATTTTGAATACTTTGTTATTTGGGGATAGGCAATTACCTTATAAAATTAACTGTTCAATTTTTGAAGCAGTCCAACTGTACATCAAGTCTTCAAAAAGATTTTGTAGTATTTCTTAATTAAGTAAAATATAAATCCTGATATTTCTTATAATTACATTTAATTTACGTCTCAGCATTTCCGTGTTCCATGTGTATGTTGTATTTTTCCTTTGGATAATTGTCTTTGCACTTTTTTATTTTATTTTATTTTATTATTATTATTTTTTTTCCTCACTCAGTGTTGTTGCTTAATTAAAATTTATTTCTCTTTTGTAAATGTTACTCTTTTTTCAGTTTTGTATTTTTCATGCATATTTATCCTTTGCACTTTATTATTTATTTACTTATTCTGGTTGCTGTTTGTATAACTTATCCACTTTTTTCGTTTTGCTTTCCCATATATAGTTAAGAAAAGAAAATGATGTAACTGAATAAGTATTATTCCATCATTGTAAATTATTGTCAATATTCTTTACATTTGTAACCTTGACCTTGGAGAGGACTTATATAGGCCATGCTTTTAACATAATAAAATATTGATTAAATCAAAATATCAGGGGCTTGTAACATAAAGCTTGCTAAGTTTTTGACTTAAATAGGGTCGTAAGTACGGTTTAGGCATAATCTTAGGACATGTCTAAGTACTACTTAAGTATGTCTTAAACCGTAACATAAAACGAACTTAGCGAGGTCTTAGCTAAGTCAAACTTATGTTAAAAATATTTCATACGTTTCAACCTATGGTTTTTGATTTTATATAGATATATTGCTAAAAGTTATTCAGTTAGGGTTTTAATTAATTACATTTTAAAGTTGACGTCCTTACCTATTGGTTTAAGTTATGTTAGATTAGATTTCGTATTAAAATTAAAATTTTTTAAATTAAATTAAATGTTTTAAATTATTCGGAATGGATGAAAACAAATACCACACGGTCAGAAAGTGGCGAATTGTGGTTCATTGTAAATGTTCACGACAATTGTTTTATCACCTGAGGTGTTTTCAGTTTACCTTTTGTAACTCTTTTGTTTTGACAAATGTTCACTTTCCCTCTTATTATTGCAGATAAGAAAAGATAATCGACTGCCTATCCATTTGAAATTGAAACTCTAAAAAGTTCAATACATTTTGAATCCCTGCTATGTATCAAGCCATGCATGTCAGAAGCAAAATCTGCAGAAGTCTTATGATATGCTCACTTGCAAGTTAATCAAGGATACATTTTTTTCATATGTCTCCACTTATCAGCAATTCTCTCTGTCTCTCTCTGTTAATGTTAATGTCATTATCCTCTTTCTTTTCCTATTTTCAAAGTGAACATACAGATCCATGGTTTATTACTGTGTTCAATTTATTTCTATAACCGTGGTCCCATTAATTTCAGACGTATCCCTAAAATTTAATTTTGTATTTACATATATGTTGTGTTGGGAGTGATATTGGAATCAGTGATACCCCCCCCCCCCTACCCACCCCACCACGAAAAAATAAAATTCTTAAATCAGCGTCAAATAGAGATAATTATTTTCTTTAATGCATAATATGAATAGAGGAATGTTTTAACATCGAAAGTCAACATTAAATAATTATTAATTATATGTACAAGAAAGTTAAGATATACTTAAGTCACCTCTACCGGCCGCCTAAGTTTTGCTAAGATTGCCAAATCTTAGTACGCTTCTAGTTACGGTCTTAAGTTTTAGACTGTACTTAAGTCTTACATAAGCACGGTCTTAGACTTAAGTAGCTTTTATGTTACGAGCCCCTGGTCATCAAGTTTTGTGAATATACCTTTATACATAGCGAACAAAATCTACTTATTTATCCACTAAAAGTGTATTTTAGTATAGTGTTAGTTACTATCATAATATTTTTGCCACAGATATATGAAATGTAATGTTTAATTTGATAATTTATATGAAATATTTTTTCATCAGGTCAAATATCAGGTCTGTAGTATACCAGGTCTTTAGTATGTTCCTGGAAAGACAACTTCGATCAAAAGGGCAAACATATGTCATTTTATACTATGTTAGTTTATTTTAAGGTTGGTCCGTAATTTCAAAATTTTCTGTCAAACTAATAATTTTTTTATTCAAATATCTTAAATAACTCATAAACTAGCTAAAACACCAATAAAAGACACACCTTTGCAGGTTTATTTTCATACAACATGTCTCAGAGTACCTACCTCTTAAAATTGAACAGCCAAAAGTGAACAAAAAGAAGTCTGATATCATATTTTATTTCGCTATGCACCAAATCACGTCAAATTCATCTTAAATCTTGTGAAAATCAAAAATAATTAATATTCTAGGAAAATACTTGAAATTTTCTCTGAAAAACATTTAAAAATTGATGTTGAATCTGTCCACGTCTATCAGAAAAAAATCTCAAGATATCTTTATTTTTAAAAAACTCAAAATCTAAGTTGTTTGTGTGCCATTTTTTCTTTAAAATTATAAAGAATTATATCTAAGGTTCACAAAAACACATATTTTATTATTGTTGACCAGAAAAATTTAACAAAACAGCCTTTTGAACTCGTATACCCCCTATTTCGGAATATCAAGTTTTTCAATTATTCTTTGCATAATTTAAAAAAAGGAAAATTTAAAAAGGAGATATATGCTTAAAATAATTGAAAAAAGATCCCTAGTTAATTTGTTAAAAAAATAAATAAAAAGTTTTAGGTCCATAAAGGCAATTAAGAATGATGCGTCTTTGTTTTTACTTAATGACCTATAAATCCTATGAACAGAGTACAAAGTGTTAATTTCCATAACAAATGTATATCAAATGCTTTGTATGCACAATAACACTGTAGTAAACAAATATATACTTGCTATATTATTATCAATCATCAAAAAAGATTTTATTTCTTTTGACAAGTGATAATAAAAACTTAGTGTTGGTGTGTAAAATTAAAACCGGATCCGTAAAAGTATGGACCAACCTTAAAGAGTTCAGATCTATCAATCAAATTTTCTAAATTTACACAATGATACCTGCTGTGAGAACCCTTGTTTGTTTTTGCCAAAACTCAAAAGTCCGTTTCTCTTGTTTTAGTCTGTAACAATACAGATAATCTTCTTTGTCATTTTTCATGTGAATTTCGCCTCTTAATCCAAGATAGATATAAGTCCCGTCTTGAAATCTGAAGGACAAATAATATGATTATCGGTGAAGATAACAAGAATAAACTTTTTTTATTATGCATGAAAAGCAAACAAATAAAGAAAGAGGGCGTATAAGGCGTGTACAATCCCCCGCTCTGAGACAAAATGTTTCTCAATTTTCAAAATTCACAAAAAAGTTACATTTTTCTAAAATCATGTTCTCAGTAATGTCATCTTCAAAACATTTTTATTATTTTATTTTACTGAACGACTTATCATTTGATAATCTTTATTTCAAAGTTGACAGTTAAGCATATTTAGTGGGAAATGGGTTTAATAGAGCTATAAAAACGAATTTTGAACATGAATGGGTCAAGTCTCCATTCTTCGTGAACGCTTAAATGATTGGAATGTAAATGTGAAATCTATTTCATTTGTCCAAAAAATGGAATCTGAACCCATTCTATATGAAAATCGAACTTTTCTGAAAAATTGTCGCTTCAACAAACCCGTCCATTTAAATCACACTGAAAGACATCGATAGTGCATATACTTCGTAGCGTAATGATTAAAGCGGTTGGTCGTGGACCAAACCTGCGCTATGGAGAGAGTTCGAATCATACATCAAGATATTTCTTTTTTTTATTGTTTTCAAATGTCTCAAAAACATGAGTG